TTTATATATTCTAGTGAAACTATAACAGATGTTTTATTTCTTCTCATCCTAGTCCTCAAATATACATAATTATATTTGCATTTTCTATAATTTTTTTCTCTCTTTACTATATTTGGCTATATTCATTCTGCTCACTATTTCAGCTCACTTGTTCTTTCATTCATCTCAGTATAATTTAAAATTTAACCTGTACAATGTATATTAAGTTTATTTATTATACTTTCAATTGTTTACTTTCTATTTGACTATTTTCCAAATGTCTTTTCAAGCTATTGTTTCTTCTTTTTTTCACAATTTTTAAATTTTTTTCCTATCGTATCTACCTAAACATTTTAAACATAATTCCAATATTTGAAGTTTATGTGACATCTAGTTTCTTCTGATACTTTATCCTGGAAGCTTATTTTCTCATGAGCTACATGACTGACAATTTGGTTCTCACATTTGTTTGATGTCTTTTGTCAGTTTATTTCTTTATTACAGTTTGTCTGGAGCAAGTTGGACAACTCACAGGTATATGGCATCCTTACAATCAGGCAGTATCTGAAGGGAGCATTTTATACCTAGATTGATTACTGCTCAATATCATTCTTTGATTTACATCTGCACCTGGGAACTTTACATCTTTGATTTACATCCGAACCTGGGACATATTTTTTTACCAGTTGTATTCAGCATTTTAAGGAACCTTATAACTTGAGAATTATAGCTGTCTGCACTAAAAGTTCTTAGAATATATAGTATTTCTCCCAAAAATCACAAATATACAGTGTATACATGAAAAAATATTTCACAGATGTTTGGTGGTAGACAATAGTATTTCATAAGAAATCTAAAATTTCTAATTTGGAACCCCCCTCCCATATTCCATGTGGTAATAACAATTTGTAGACTGTGATTTTTTTAAGTCATTGAAAATATATTTTATAGTTTAAATAAAAGTTTTATGTAATACTCACTACAACAAACAGTAGCTATATATGGCAATAATTACAGTTTTTCTATAACATAAAGCCAGGTCTTTCATCTGCAATGACCTTCTTTCCTCCTTAATACAACACCAATTTTATAAAAAATAATCTCAATGTGGGTTCTCCATTTAATCCAGATGTTAACTAAAGAATCTTATATTAAATGTGCATGTGGCTAAAAATTACCTTTTTGGTTACACTTTAATTGATAATTCTTATTGTCATTTCAGAGTGCCTAAAAAAGATGGCCTGTTGGATTTTTGCTTTCATGGGTTCAATGACATTTTTAGGACTAAAACATTACAATGAAAAGTTTCATATTTAAAAATACTGTATGTTATGTCTGTATTGGTCAACATTGCTGCCCATTTGTCTTTATACTTAATTAACCGATGTTT